ATCGTGAAAATCGTTTTGCTGTTTGTCAGTAGATGGCGTTATTGCATGGCGATAAACCTTCCCACGTGTGATTTGAGGTGATATTTTGAATATTATCTTCCACTTACTTCTTCTTCACTTGATCAATAAACATATAGTAAATATAATAAACATATAGTAAATATATAGAAAATACATATAGTACACTTTAGGAAATAAGTAGGTTAACTTATTTACTATATGTATTTTCTTACCATATCTTCGCGTTAAAAGGAAAAACAAACACTCAAATTGTTTGCAGTTTTTCGAATGTTTCTTGGTATATATAGAAATCGTCGATTATACAATCTGTGATAAGGCTTATCACAAAAAATAAAATAACAGATAACACGGTTCAATATACGTCGGTTAAAATTTAAAAAAAAGTGTAAACAGAAATGCAAATTTAGAACAAAATAAATACAAAAAATATAATTGCCACACACAAACACCATTGTTTTTTAAAATCAATTTATTAAAAATACGAATTTATTCACATATTTACTTCGGGAATGCTCGACTAGCTTCGGACCCGGCAGTAAGTATCACTCCTTGAAAAAGTAGATACTTTGGTTCTCTAGTAATCTTACAAAGATTACCACCCTTACAAAAATTCGGCAGTCTGTAGGACATATACGATTGATTCTACACCTCGGTTTGTCTGTAAAGCTAAAGGTGCGTTTTGATAGAGTTCCCGGTAAATTAACATCATGTCAGGATAGTCAGACTGTGGAGGTCACTCGCGGCTTATGGATGTCGATACCGATAACCTAATAAAATTAAAAGACTGATAATGCCCTCAGTTTCACACACACAAACTAATAGTCTCACTTTTCAAAATAATTTTAGTGGGACAACACGAAGTCTTGCCCACACGATAACATTAATTGTTCACACCATTATTTTTATGACGATCGTAATATTTAAGTTTAAGTTAGAAAAAAAAAGATGTTGCAAATTACGAAAACAAAAAATGAACTGTTTCTAAACCACTAAATATTTTTTGTTCATATTTTCCAAATCGTCTTGAAATAAAATGCAGAATATATGGGTTACAGGTTTGTCAAAAAGAAAAACTCTATAACATCTGTCTGATAATTTCACGCAATTAACGTTATTAACACGCTTTTATTAGCTTTTTATGTATGTTTTACGCTTGTGTTGTTCACGTTTTTATTAGTTTTTTATGTATCTATGTATGAATGTATTATGTATCTATGTTTCGTATGTATCGTAAAAAAATATATTTTATAATATACTAACTTTACTTTTACCAATATCTGTCAGTAACATATTTTTACAACAATTGAGATCAAACACTCCACGCTTTTTACGATAAAATGATTTATATTTTTGAAATAATAGAAAATTACGAATATTTCCTACTTTTAGTTCGGCTAGCTACACACGCGTGTTTTTTACACACGCGCTACATATAATATAAAACGTATTTAGTCGAGATTAGCATTATAGATTGGCATCATGTACTATTGATATGACGTTTGTAACTCATATTAATCTCTCTTACATCTAAGATAGGTCTTACTACAGTACGGTACATGCGCATGCGCAGAGACTATGAAACGTAAACGCAAACGTATTCGCTTGTGTTTTTGTATGCAATGCTAGTGAGCGCAGTGTATACCGTTTACTGCTGGTGAGTGGTCAATAATCTCTCAGCGCGCCAACCACCATCACTTTTAACTGTCGTATTCAATATCGAAGTTTCACCTTAATCGGTGATTCAACAGTATTCGTAAGTATTTTTAATTAATATTTAGTGTGTTATTTAAAATACTCTGGTGAGCCGTTAAGTTAAGTTAAGTTCTATGTTCTTGAGGAAGAAGAATATAATTATAATGGTGCATAAGTAAAAAAGTTAATTAATTAGTTGCCTAAGTGCGATTATAAAAATGATTTATAAAATTAGTTAATAACAAGAGTTTTCAAATAAAATTTAAGTGTTGTTATGTTAAAGCTTCAATAAAAATAAATAGGAGATTTTTCATTGAAAACGGCTCGTAAGAAGGTACAATGTTGTAAAATCATTTTTAAACTACATAGGTACCTGGGAGGTTTGTCATTACAAAAATAATTATTTGCAAGTCTAACAAAACAAATATATCTTAAATAAGTTAAACATTGATCATTATTATGCATGTTCCTTTTCTAGCTAATACCACCATGCACTTTAACTGTTATTTTGGTGTATAAAAATAAAGGACAGTTTAAAATTGATTTTATTTAAATGTGAAGAATGTGTGAAGAACAATAACCGGTCCGCAAAACTGCTCAGTGTCAAGGCTGTTAAGATATACTATCGAAACTGAGGAATAAGGCGATTTAATTTTTTATCATACTGTTACTATTTTTGTTAAGAATTATCTATGAGGGAGGTCACGTTGTGGGCATGGAGTGATAACATATTTTATATCATATCATACAACAGTTTTTAGTCAGTCTTTTGATTGCTGTGCTTTAAAATAAGTTAGAGTTTAAAGGCTATTAAATTGTTAGAATTCAATAAACAAGTTAACTTTATAATTACAATTTTTTTTTAAATTCATGTCAATATATAAATATATAATACATATGAGTACAAAGTAGGTATTACTTGATAAAGTAGGTAAGTACTGTACATTTACATTAATTACTTAAAACAGTTTCCTAAACGTGTGTCAGAAAATAAGATACACACACATACACATTTAATATATCTACACATTTACACTTTGTATATACATTGTGTTATATCCAAATTGTAGATTAAAAAAATGCAGAATAAGAATAAGGTATTGGTTACATTTTGTTATGATTTACATCTTATTGTCATTAGATTCTTATACGAGTATAAAGCTTACTACTAAAGCTAACATAAAACTAGTATACGACTGTTCTAAAATGTGCAAGAGTAAATTAAAAAAGTAAAATCTTAACAATGACGTTAGATACATACAGTATATATATATAGTATACATACATATTATACATCAGGTACATACAGTAAATAATTTAATACAATTATCCTAATAATTGGGCCTTATCACTCAGAGGCAATATCTCACAGGCAACCATTCGATATATTTAGAAAGCAATAAATGTTTCACTTTAATGCCTAGAAAACAAAGATTTTAGTGGCATCAGATGTTTTTACTTAAATTATCACCTTAATTTATCACATATATGTAAATTTTCTCTAAAAACCTTTCGGCGTATCCGGTGGCTTGGTACACTTACCGGTGAAGTATCAAAACATACCAAACCTAAGCACTGCCGCTGAGTTTATGGACTTACGACAGTAGTATCTTAAAAACGGGTTTGGCAGTGATAGCTGTTTTCGCCAAAAGTGCCTATCGATGGTTTAAATCTTATATATTGAGTATGAGATCTTTGGATAAGTGAGATATTTTAATGACGATTGTTATCAAATAATATGCCTATTTCTATCAATATTAAACTTTATAAATCCTGTTTAAAAACTTGTTTTTTATCACTCCATGTCTCTAAATTTTTAGTTTTTGTTAAGTGTGCAATTAATTTAAGAAATCGTTATTGTGTTTTAACACGCTTTTAATACCTGCATGTATGTACAGGAATCTTTGAACGTGGCTTAACCCAATTTAAAACGTCAGCTTTAATTGAATATTTGCAACCAATACAGCAACCAGCAACTTTACGAGGGCGTAGTATGGTCTTGATCGACCCACTCCCGATACCCTTCAGCGGTCTCTTTTTGTGAAGCCGTGATGACAGCTTCACAAAAAAAGACCACTGTGCCCCAGCTCTCCTCAATCGCTAGTACGGCAGTAATCATTGCAGGCTGGTCTCGTCCGATTTGGTTAACCAGGACCTCGCGTGCAGTCGCCCTCACGGGGGACTGCCCCGCGAGGGCGTCTGCGCGCGAGGTCAGCGTATGCTGTGCGGTGTCCCAGTCGGCTGCGCAGTGATGGCATTGTGCCGTTTCCGAGCCGGTCCAGGTACTCACCGAAGCAACCATGCAAAGTGAGACCCTGCGACAGTCGATAGCTACCCAAACTTCCAGCTTAGGCAGAACGGCACCGGTATTACGTGAGGTAGCCTAAGAACTGGCTACCATAAAAAAGGCAGGCAGGTGTGCAAATCGCCCATTCCTGGCTCAGAAAGGACAAATAATTAAATAATAGTTTATTAAACTAGAAATACGCTTTTACAGAAAATACATTACAAAGTAATGAAAATAATTTCAAACATCTCACACACGGGCGGCCGCTGATCGCAAACTAGGCAGAGCCTTTACTGTGGCAATCAGACTGCTGATAATCATAGTTATATATGAACAAATGATCGTGCTCATCACACATTTGTCCTAGGTGGACATGTGAACAGGTAAATCGAGCCCGCGACCTCCAGCTTAACAGTCACTAAACACTAGAGCCTGTTGCTCTTTTTTTTTGTCTGTTGCCAGACAAAAAAATATATAATTCAACATACGAAAAGCATAATTTTATTAGCACATTAACTTCTTTTTTCATGAGAAATATTGTAGAAATAGGAATAAATACATATATTTTGCCCGTTAGAATTTACTGACTGACATTTAAAGAATAAAAATAGCAATGTGGTAAATTTCGTAACATTCAATTTAATATGCTTAAATTGCCTTTGTTTAAAAAGCCCACTTTTTTGAGCTACATAATGCATAAGCATAAATAATGCAAAATAAATTGTCACTAAAGAGGATTTTAAGTCTTTGAGGGTTTTCTTATAATAATAATATCTACTCGTGCTTACAGTAAATAAGTATTCTGGCAACATTGATGGCGCGGTTTTGTATGGCCTACAGCGTGGTTTCTTGTCGAATTATAGAAAATCCCACCAATATGTGGCTTGGCTGTTTCGCTCTTTAACTAAATCTGACTGAAATGACTAACTAAATCTGACTAAAGTATACTGGCATTCGATTCAATTTCTAAAAATAACCTTTTTTCTTATTCCAGTGAAAGATGTCCTGGGCGTGCGACCAGGCATTAACCGCGAACATCGTGGAGAGTTATCAGGTAGCTGGACCACTTTTCGTCAACGCCTTGCAAAGTTTCTTAGCAGCCCAGTGCGCCCTCGTTGGGGACCATTTGTGGCCCGACGATGCAACACAAGCCGTACTTAATGGTATGTAAATTTTATTAAACGTCTTTTAAGATTTCTACTTCATTTGGTGTTAGAGCTGTTTTTTGGATCTTTGGATATTTTATGCCCGTAGGGGCTTCTCGGGTCCACAAGGGTGGATGGGTGACCACACAATTTTTATTTATTTAAATATTTTTGTAAAGTTTAATAACATCATGTTTCTATATTTTAAAGTCAAAAAAAAGAAAACATTTTTGAAGCGTGTATTTTATTTCAAAATTTGAGCTTAATTGGTGTAGAAATATTTGAATGTTTGAAGCGTAAACAAACCAACATAATATTTACTCGTATATATATGGAGTTGGCCAAAACCTCCTTTCTAAGGAGAGGTCTATGTCCAGCAGTGGACTATTATAGGCTGTTGATGTGATGATGTGATGTGTGATATATGGAGTTATGGTACTAGTAGTTGCAGTTTATTATTTAAATACTTTTGCATAAATACTTATTGATTGCAGTCATACCTAAATTTTATTACTATGGACGTAAATGATGTCATTTCCATTCATAGTAGTAAAGAGCACGTTGATAAAATCCTTAAAGAAGTTATTAGTTTCAGCTGCAATAATATAATCCCAAGTCATAAAAAACTTGAAACAGTAATATCGAACGAACAACTTATGAGCCTTTAACTGTAAATAAGCAAAGAAACATTTTTACTATCGTCGACCAACCTGATCTAGCCTAGTTGAATGCAAGATCTTGCCTAGTTGATGCAGATTTATAGTGATAAAATACTGGCTCATTCTATAATAGACCCTAAATTTTAATGATTCAGTTACTAAACTTTTAATTTCAGATCCAAATTATGACTTTATAGTGGTGGGAGCTGGATCGGCGGGTTCAGTTGTTGCCAACAGACTTAGTGAAAATCCAGAATGGAAAGTCTTACTTGTAGAAGCTGGAGGGAATCCAACCCTATCTACAGAGGTAAAACTTTTAAAACTCTGTTTAAATTATATTAACGGTAGATATATTAAAATCTAAAAAGACCAACACTACATTCCTAACACATAAATAAAATTTAGATCTGATTTTTCTGATTTCAGAATCCACACCTTTTCTACAACAATATGGGTACTTCTTTAGATTGGGGTTATAAGACTGAACCTCAAGATGGCGCTTGTGGAGGTTACAAAGATAAAAGATGTGCTTGGCCAAGGGGGAAAGTTCTAGGGGGCTGCAGTAGTATCAACGCTATGTTCTACGTTAGAGCTAACAAAGCAGATTATGACCAGTGGGCTGCAGAAGGTAACTACGGTTGGAGTTACGACGATGTATTACCATATTTCCTAAAAAGTGAAAACTTTCATGGACACATTACTGAAGAAAACAAAATATATCATAGTCAAAACGGCCCTCTTCATGTTCAACAAGAAAATAAGCCGCACCCTTTTGAAAACATGATTCTTGAGGCTGCCAGTGAACTTGGGTTAAACAACGTAAGCGATATTAATGGTGCCAGCCAAATGGGAGTCCTTGTATCACACTATACTACTAAAGACAATTATAGATTCAGCACTGCTAGAGCATTTTTAAGCCCAGCTAAAAGTAGGAAAAATCTTCATGTAATGAAACATGCCTATGTGACGCAGGTTTTGTTTAAGTCAGGATCGAACCGGGTTAGTGGCGTCCTAATCAACAAAGATGGAAAAAATATCATAGTCAATGCTAAAAAAGAAGTAATTTTGTCAGGTGGATCTATTAACTCGCCACAGCTTCTAATGCTATCGGGCCTGGGTCCAAAAAAACATTTAGAAGAAAAGGGTATTGACGTCAAAGCTGATTTAGCTGTTGGTGAAAACTTACAGGACCATGTTTTCGCACCTTTATTTTATACTATGCCAGGTGATAAAGAAATCACTTCACTACCAAATATAGCTGGAACCCTGATGAAATACATTTTGGAAGGCACTGGTCCAGTGAAAGATCTAAGTCCACACAGAGTAATTGCATTTATAAATACCACGGATCCTCTATCGTCTTTGCCAGATATTCAGTTTCACTATTTAGTTACACCTCCCGGGTTATCAAATATGCTTGACATTTTTGGGAAACATGGATTTAATGACGACATTCACAAAAAGTACCTCAAAATGAACGAAGATAAATTTATTATGCTTATTTACGCCGTTCTTTTACAACCTATGTCTAAAGGAAAAATTCTTCTTAAGAGTAAAAATCCTTTTGACAAACCTTTGATAGACCCAAACTATTTAAAAAATCCTGAAGATGTAGCAAGTATTATTAGAGCATGTAAACAACATATTATGAAGCTAGGCGATACAAATTCTTTCCAAAAAACAGGCTTTAAATTAGAGTGGCTGGATCTCGATGCCTGCAAGGAATTTAATACAGCTAGCGACGAACACTTAGAATGTACAATTAGACAGTTGACTTTTTCACTATACCATCCAACAAGTACAGTTAAGATGGGGCCTAAGGACGATCCAACAGCGGTAGTAGACCCTGAGCTTAGGGTATACAAAGTAAAGGGTTTACGCGTGGTTGATGCCAGTATTATGCCAAACATTGTAAGAGGTAATACGAATGCACCAGTCATCATGATTGGTGAAAAGGGAGCAGATATGATCAAACAGTTTTGGCTAAATAACAAACACACAGAACTATAACACACTAGGTACATAATTGAAATGTAAAAAAATTGTTAAGTGTACTTACTGTAGGTACAAGTTAATTAATAGTTGGCTTTACACTTTTTCTTCTTAAGGTAGACTTCAGCATACTTAAGTTTAAAGATTTTAGAAAAACGAGTAACTTAAATCGGCTACGATCAAACTCGATTACCTATTTACTTGGACAATTAAATTTAATTTGAGAATAAATCTTGGCTACCCTTTTTTTTTTAATCCCCTCATTTTGAAATTATCGTTTCATACGGAAGCTTGGATCTAATCAGGTTAGGATTGATCGGCGGGCTTGGTCGAAGCATCACTATTTTAGATATTATAACTTTACTTATATTACTAGTAGATTATAACTAAAATTTCTAAGTATATTTATTTTAGGATTAAATAGAACCCACCCCATGTTACACATACTCTATAAAAAAATAATATAGAGAAAGTAAGAAGAACTCAAGAAGTAAGCAGATTTATCTAACAATGACAGGGTTGCCTGGCTAAAATGATCACGCCGTTTTAGTGGCCCTAAATTCCTTAATATTACTAAAATTTCATATACTCGTTTTAAAGACTGAGTTCATGAGAGTCTATTTTACTATTCCATAATTTTTTATTGTAACTTTTTGTATCCAAATATATATTAAATATAAAATAAAAAAGAAAATGAAAAATAAAATCCGAAAAGCTAAATCGTTGCAATTATTCAAAAAACAAGTCATAAATTACTACATACTTAAAGGTATATTGATTGTTCGTTAATACTTGGTAGGCGTCACAGGTTAAAAACGATATGCGTATTAACCTTTATAACCTTTGTATGTATTTTTTATTTTTATGGATTTATATGTTTTAATAGTATGTATATTGTAAGCGTATTTAGTATGTTTACTTTTATAAATGTTAACTAGCTGACACGGCAAACGTTGTTTTGCCATATACATTATTTCAAATTTTTTTGTCAAATTTTTTTATTAGGGGTATGAAAAATAGATGTTGGCCGATTCTCAGACCTATCCGATATTTACACAGAATTTTCACGAAAATCAACTTCTAACACCGTGACACGAGAATTTTATGTATTAGATTATCTAAAGTGTTATAAAGTACACCATAGACTACCCTAAATCAGATTAAACAATATCCATATTCATATATTTAAAAAAAATATATATAACGAATTAGTTATTTCATATGTAAATATAACATGAATGGTAAGATATTATTGCATAATTACTGTAATTTTTAAATACAATATTGTATTTTTTTGTAAAAAAATCTGACGCTTTGATCCAAATTTATCTCATCATCATGTATGTATTGTATGCATGCTCATGTATTGGGCGGTATAAAGAAACCAGTTTAAAATAACTTTGGGTGAAATGTAAAAGAGAAGGTGTAACAAACAGGGTCATCTGATTGCCGTTACTTGAGACGATGCCTTAGCAGTTTTTAACAAACAAATCTTGTGTCTAAATTTCAAGGTTAGAAATCATATATGTTATCGTGTACCCGAACGTTAGCAACTAGCCGGCGGCTTTTCTGTGTTCACCAGTGATGTGCCTGCTTGCTGTCTAATCACTTGTGTCTATAAAAACATCGGTTTTGTATACAATAGTAGTGTGTCAGCAATATAATGTAAGTTATTTCACTGTTGTTTTTAAACTGACCCCGTATTGAACTTCTAAATATTTTGGAATGTTGCAAGCGGAGAAAATAAATTATTAAAAAGTGTTCTGTTTATAATATTATTGTATTGAAATAATCAGCATCATCATCATCATGGCTGGATATTGATATCTCCTTAGAAAGAAGGTTTTGGGCTACTATACATCGCTGGCAAGTTTTTCTTCTATTTGCAGTGCTGTTGTCCTTCCTTAGTCGGCTCTTACGACACCCATGCGATGAATAAGACTGGTGACATTCCGTATTCTTAATCCGTGTAGTGACGGAATACATATTAATAAAACGAATACAAAAACGTTATTTTCAAGAATTTTCACCATTCAAAAATCATAAATAAGAAGTTGAAGGCTGATAAGATACTGATGTTTGTTTTAAACAAATAGTTATTATACCAACAACAGTAGCTTATAGAATTCTTTTTTTTGTTTCTGTAAAGCTTCTTTTTAACATTTCTTATAATAAATAGCCCGGTTTGAATCATCACACTTGATCTTACACTGACTTCGAGACTTACACTTTACTTAGTAACTTTATTCTAGGTAGGTAATTTTTATCCTCTGTAAGCCTTTTTTTTTTTGTTGACGGAGTGGAAAATCCCTTCGGATCTCCGGCTCCTTGGGGATATAGGAGCCAGGAGTATGTGGTGATTCCACTAAAAACCACTCCGACGGCCAGCCTTAGGCGCCCTGCTCTGGGGAGAACCCGGGCCATGTGATTTCAGATCGACGCCGCACCTAGCTAGGTCCCATCTCAGGGAAAGCCAGTGGCTTCTCCCTGCCTCTCAGCCTATCCAGATGTTGCAGCCCGATCCCATTTTCAGTGCGATCAGGCTGCCATCCTTTCCCCTACCGCAGCAATTAATCTGCCACCAGAGGTCCCCACTCTCTGGCGGCCCGCGGTCCCGTCGGCTGCTCATTACGTCGTCGACGTCTTCTTCGCTCGGGATCGGCCCTCTCCCGATCCCGTTCAGCGGTCTCTTTTTTGGAGCATTACAGCTTCACAGAAAGAGACCACTGCGCCCCAATCCTCAGTAAGCCTAGGATAAAAACTACTTGAAATTTATAAAGGGAATTCATTGTAAAATTTTCAAAGACAAAACCGCGGTAATGTTTTTGATCAATATATATTATAGTATAAGATAATGTAATTAAAAAATGTATTTTCACGAAAATAACTATTTATTTAAAACAAATACTTTGACTTTTCAGGAACTTTTATTTATTTATTTTATATGATGTTAAAACAAATGTATTTTGTTATGTTTCTTTTGAAGCCCAATATCGATCTAAGTGGCGTGCAATGTGAGAGGCCTATGTTCAGCAGTGGACTGCGATAGGCTGATGATGATGATATGATGTATAAAACTATATTTAAAAATTATCTACCATCATGAATCATATTTGCCATGTGCCAATATAATTCATGATTTTAGATAAAACAATGCCTTTCCTACTTTACGTTCTAATTGAGTTGATTTTTTTATTATTTAGATTTTTTATAAATGTTTCACGCACGAACAGGTTCACTATATTACTTTAAATAGGTAACTTGTCGATTCTATACAGATCATAAAGGTAAAATCGTATTGATAATACCAAAAAATAAATGAAAAATGTCAGTGTATGTATGCACCTGTGATAATAATATTGATACAATTTAAATCGATTAAAGCCAGTCACCGGCTGCATGGTTTCGTCGTCTGCCAGTGTGGTCTCAGGTCTGAGCAATACTATTTCAGATACTATTGTATCTGAACTTCCATCAATCCTTAGTATTATTTGGCAAAATTAGCTAAAGGGCTCAATACCCACACACTCGCGAGTAGCGCAACGTAAGTAACCTCCTTTCACTTAATTTAACTAAAAGATCACTTGGATTGAAAACAGCAATTGAATACGGGGTTTTTGTCAAGATTATTGGTATTTTTTGTCTAGTGTTATTTTAAGGTGTTCTTTATAACATATTGTAACTACCAATTATAAATACCTATACCAACAAATTATAAGTAAGATATAATTGGTAACCACCATTGTGAACAATCGCGGCACAATGGACCGACGACTTGAGGAAAACGGCTGGCAGTGGCTGAATACGGATTACCCAAAAACGGGATGGTTGGCGCTTCTTGGGAGAGGCCTTCGTTTAGCAGTGGACGGCAGTAGGCTGATGATGATGAAAAATTAATATTTTTTTGTTAATTTTTAGTCATTTTTATACCATAACAAAAACATAAAGAAAGCATGTCTGTTAAAAATACTAGTCATATTATATTATACATTATAATCCTTAAAAATATAAAACTGCGCTCCAATATTTTTCATTATGCATTATATTATTCTATTCCAGTTCTAAAATGTCGTGGGCTTGCGACCAGGCGCTCACCTCTAACATAGTGAATAGTTACCAGACGGCCGGACCTCTCTTCGTACAAACCCTGCAAAGTTTCTTAGCTGCACAATGTGCTCTCGTTGGAGACCATCTTTGGCCCGATGATGCCACGAAAGCTGTTCTTGATGGTAGGTAAATCTTTCACGCTCATTAATGAATGAATTCAAAGTAGAAAAATATATGTCATACAGTTAAACGCCAGCTTATAGTGTACTAAGAAGTTATTAGTTAAAGAGTGCAGAAACGAATACATCTAGTACCTATTTTATCTAAATTTAAATAATAACTATGGTTGAAGTTCTTTCATAGTTAATCATTTGTGTCAAGCAAGGACTCTTAATCTACCCATTAGAAGACTATACATAAAAAATCATTAACCTATTTCATATATTACTTCTTCCATAACTTTTAATATAAATAATCCCAACTAAATAACTTGAAACTTTTAATTTAAAACTTAGGAAAGGATAGTATAATTTGCTGTGTAATAATATGTATTGTATTTCATAATTATTTGACTACATTAAAGAGAATCTATGATCCTAATACTATAAATACTTAAATAAATTTTTAATGCATCATATACATCTTAACACAGTACACTACACTTACTACACTTACACTAGTACCAGTTGCCATGAAGCTTTTCGTGGGTGTTGTCAGAGATACAAAAACATAGGTACATATAATATTTTTGAACTAGGAAAAAGTATTATTAGTAGCGCTATAAAAAGCGCTAGAGTGGAGCTGCGGGTGAAAGCTAGTATAGTGATATTTGATTGGATAATTGTATCTACATTTAATTATTGTGATCAATAAATTCCTTGTAACACACAAATTTAATGGGCCTTAAGAATTCGAATAGGCTTCTTATACGAGTATATTATTATAAACGGCGTGCAACGCACACGGGCGGAATGTTGCGGGAATGGCAAAAACAGAAACCGAAACTATTTTTATAATTTGCATGTCTAATGTATTGATCTCATCATAGTAATATCTATTGATCGGTGTACGAAAATAAATGTCACTGTCACAAACATACAAAAAAATAAAGTCGATTTGACAATCTCTTCTTTTTTTTGAGGTGGGTTGAAAATACATTGCTAGTGTGCAAAATATTATCATAAGGAAATCTGTTATGATTAGCAACGATAGCATCATGATAATAACGACGATTTTTATTACAAAAAGTCGATATCATCATATTATCATTAACAGTCATTGTCGACGGCTAATCTATTCTCAATAGCTCCTACAATAATAATCTTTCTTACTATCATTTATGTAATTATTTACATTAACCTAATGACATATACGTAATTAGTTACATTGGCTGTATAAGATATAAGTAATTATAGAAAAAAAAACAATAAGACAATTTTTATTTGCCTTTTTTCAACAAAAATTTTATTTTCCTTCTGGCAGGCCAGATGACGTCTAGACCAGATGACGTCTTAATGAGCTCATGAGTACATGATGGATATGCAAGTACATGAGACTGGTTTCTTCGCGATTCTGCAGACTCAGACTCGTTTCTACTTCCAAGCCAAGCGATATTTCTTTCTCCAGCACCTCGTCCCTTCCGCTTTCCGCTTCCTACTGCGCTGAGTCTTGTGGGTCCGACCCAAATATGGGACAAAACTAACCCAGAAATTGTTGTTTTGAGTCTGGGTGTTCTTTGTGTCCGTTTCATGTATGTTTGTAAAGTCCTCCGCGACACAGGATTTATTTCTAGTGCTTAAGTTTTTTTTTTTTAAGAAAAAGAATAAGATTACATTCCCAAGGATTTAAAGTTCAGGTCATCACGTCGGTCACAAAAAACTGGCTAAATTTTTGCTGAATTATTATGTTCTCGTTGTATCGTTTGTGATGGTGATATAGATATCTCATTTGTTGGAATGAATATTTAATAATCTGAATCAGGTGAACCTTATCCTTAGTTTGACTTCTTTTTTAATAATTGTCTTTTAAAGATAACGAACGATTAACGAAATATTTCACGAGTGCAGTACTACAGTGTGTTTTAAGAAAATGTAATTAGTGAACTAATCATAGCAGTTTAAAAAAATCGAGTGATTTTCTAATACTTAGTCCATAATTTACAAATGAATCGCAAAAAAATTTGCTAGCTGCGATGTGGAAGAGTAGGAAAGAAATACAGAATTGGCTAGCAGTTAGTAAGACGAGAGCAAGTACAAATTGTGCTCGTTTGCCTTTTTATATCGTAAATCTAAGCGTAATAGTTCAACCTAGGCTCAATAGCGGAACTCAGCCTCGGCATTGTTAAAAGGGTTTCGTACTGCTGGCAATCTCCACAGGCCGTAACAAGCACTTTTGTTTTTGGTAGAACCGGCTCAAAACCCACTGTGTTCCATCATCAACAAAAGATAAATGATATTTATTTCTGCAAGTAAATCTTTTCAGATATTTTTACAAGTCGGACTTTACAGCTAGAAGGAGCCGGCATTTCCTAAGACTCACTCTGGGAAGAAACAAGCCACAGAGGTGTCTTTTTTTAAGTCCGTGAACAAAGTTAAATAAAACTGTGCGAGTGCATCGTGTAGCCTAACCGATATTGGTCAAGATCAACGACCCGAAGCAGGACATTTGGGTAGGCCGTGGAAACACTCAAAAGCACCAGAAAGTTACTAAATTATTAATTAACATTAAAAGCCTACACTATACTCACATTTACATACTTACACAAAAAAAATACTGAATTGAATTGAATTGTAATTCAAATTCAACGAAAAATAAACAAATTAAAAAATACGAAATACACCAAAAAAAATGGCAATCACTTTCAAACTTAACAACAAAGATGGGAACGTAAACGTGGGAGTGAGCAGCCTCAATCCCAAGCAAATATGTCTAAATAATCTGTAATAGTGTAGTAAGCCTTTTCACACAGTTTTAGCTTTACTAAAGACTTAAATTTGTTAATACATGGAATTTGCTTGGCACTTTATTGTAAAATCGCACACCCTGACAACGAAAAGACTTGCTTACTTTTTGTAGTCTAGTGGTTGGTAACACGAGTTTATCTTTATTTCTAGATTATTTTTCTTTATATACACTTAATTTTCATATATGTATTGAGATGCGACTGTCATGATACCAATTTCTTTAAAGTCATCCCTCAGTGACTGCATATAACTGAGATTATAAATTGCAACACAAAGATACTTTAAATGTCAGCAGCATTTCCCCACAACAAAATACCGTATGACATTACACTATGAAAATAGCTAAAATACACCAGTCTAGCTGTTTCTACATCGGTTAATTGACGAATTTTATAAACCGCGTATGCTGCAGAGCTGAGTCTATTCGACAATCCGTCAATGTGGTGGCCGCACTGCAATTTGGAGTCTAGTGTTATACCCAAAAACTTGGTGGTGTCCACAAGATCCAACCCCTTTCCATTTATTAGAACATTGGTTTTTACCTGCGTAACATTAGGTGTAAACAATCTAATACATTTCGTTTTATTCTCGTTTAAAAGTAAATTATTACCATTGAACCAGTTCACAATTTCACAACCTTAGAGAGAGTGCTATTCACGTCATCAGTTACTGATTGCTGTCGTTTAAGTTTAAATAAAACTGAAGTATCATCCGCAAATAGTACTATCTCCTTATTACCTTTTATCACATTAGGTAGGTCATTTATGTAAACAAGAAAGAAAAATGGGCCGAGAATTGAGCCCTGCGGAACCCCCATAATGACCAGAGACCCCAGGGATCTCCATTCTGTTTTTCATAGCAAAAGTACACATCTGTCCACAGTGATCAGAATGTAGTTTGTTTATTATTCCTTTGGTGTGTGTACTATGTCAGTAAATATATTATATATGCATCTGGCTGTGGTGTATGACCCAAATAGAATACCTATTTGGGAAATCTTATACTCAAGGATGTATCTTTACATTAAAATCACCACACACAATTACACTTTTGTTTGATTTACATACTTTCTGCAAGACTTCGTTCATAATTTTTTTAAAACTAATATATGATGAGGATGGAGGCCTGTATATACTCAATACAATAAGTTGCTCTAACTCCACACATGCTATTTCTGTTGTCCGCTCAACAGAGAAGCCTGAAATATCAGTATGGTGCCTATAAGTTAAATCCGTTCTAATAAAAAATAATAAACCGCCATGTACCACATGCTCCCTACTGAACGAAGTACCTAATACATAATTACTGAAGTAAAACATGAGCTGATGACTTTTTAGACAATGTTCTGTAATACAATGAATATCAATTTTGTCACAGCTCATGAACAATTCAATTTCTAGGTGCTTACTAGGCATTCCTTGCATATTTTGATGCGCTACAGTGAAAGTGTTGGTTGTACATTTCTTTGATACCTTTCTGTATGGTAAATTTAAGCTAGAGGTTACCTCTTTTGTCCTTAGATCTACTTTAAAATATGTGAATTCATAGTCAAACGCTTGGGTGGATCAATATAAGTTGCCTGTGCAACTGGTTTAATAGCCAAGTTTTTTACTGTTATATCAATAAAATAAGAAAGCGTTATTGCTAACTGTAGTTTACAAAACAATGAATGATAACACCTATACTCGTATTTCGTCATATAAATATAGTCCAACATAATTGTTAGTGTCAATTATATGAAACTTCATATTGTAATTTGACATGTTGTGTAACTGCATATTTAACTTATACCTACGGTTATTTTCTTCCTCTGGCAAGCCTTAACTATATGGCAGTGTAAATATAATTGTCTGTTTCAAATTAAATGCACATAGTTTATTGTAATATTGCAGCAAACTCTGGCTAACTAAATTTCCTCTATTTCTATTTTATAGAAATTAGTTATTAATAAATCACTGCACATATTTCCCAGCAACTGACCCATACCCTTCCCAATCTCATCACTGAATATTACAATTTTATTTATTTTAAAGGTTTCTGAGTTGTTCTTTGTTATAACAACCTTTGACAGTCCACTGATGGACACAGGTCTCTCCTTAGAAAGAAATTTTCATACTTTGCCTATATATGAGGGATCCAGGCAAATCTAGGCCATAAAGATTTTTTTTATTGGATAAGAAACAAATCACTTGACATTGCATATTAATGCCTCCAATTCACATAGGTCATATAATATTGACATAAAGAAATAAAATAAATACTAATCATGAATGTTCGCATCATTTCAGATCCTAATTACGACTTTATAGTGGTAGGCGCTGGATCTGCGGGATCAGTTGTGGCGAACAGACTCAGTGAAAACCCGGAATGGAAAGTTTTGCTGGTGGAAGCCGGAGGAAACCCAAATATAGCTACAGAGGTAAGATGTTGTACAACAGGACTGTATCCTTTAGTTTGTCAGTTTGGACTTTTTTAAATTAAATAATTTGGATCACAAACTATTCTTTACACTTTAGTAGCGCAAAAACAGTGCAACAAACACTTACAGATAATTAACCTAATGCTGATGTTTGGTTAAATAATTTGAAAGAAAACGAATAAAATAACAACAGTGAAGATGCTTCAACATGAGCTGGTTCGACTCGAGTGATACCTCTTTTGCTGCTTTTTATTTTCCCTGATTCTGGGCGACAACGCAGTTGTGACTCGTTTGAGTTGTGTGCGTTCATGAGCGGGGGTAGTAACTTACCGTCAAGTGACCTGTCGGTATACCACAAAAAAAGATTATACTATAGAAACGTGTTATAAATCCTTTGATGTATTTTTAAAGTATAACTTCTTTACGCACGCTTGAATTTTGGGGTGAGCTGGTGAATGTGTGACGAGAGCGCTACGAAAAGTGTGATCGTGCGAGGCGAACGGAAATTGTGAGGGAGATATAAGTTAGTAAAGATAGAAAGAGTATATTACTGTAGGGGAAAGAGAGAGATTTGCGAGCCCACATTTTATTTCTCTCTTTCTCTCATAGCCTGTGGTCTAAAGCACACTAGTTTTTTTTTTATCATGTGTTACAGATTCCGCAACTTTTCTTCTCCAACATGGGTACCTCAGTGGACTGGGATTATCACAGTCAACCTCAAGAAGGTGCCTGTAGAGGTTACAAAAAGAAAGGATGTGCTTGGCCACGGGGAAAACTACTAGGAGGTAGCAGTAGCATTAACGGTATGTTCTACGTGAGAGGTAATAGAGCTGATTACGATGAATGGGCGGCTAGTGGTAACAATGGTTGGAGTTATGAAGACGTATTACCTTACTTCTTAAAAATTGAAAACTTTAATGGAGATGTTACACATGAAAACGAAAAATATCACAACCAAAATGGACCTCTTAATGTTGTGCAAGGTAAGCCAAATCCTTTGGAAAACCTCATCATTCAAGCTGCTGTGGAACTTGGTATTAAAAATGTAACAGATATTAATGGTGATAACCAAATGGGTATTCTGGTGTCCCACACCAATATCAAAAATAATTTTAGAGTGAGCACTGCTAGAGCGTACCTAAGCCCCATTAAAGAGAGAAAAAATCTTCATGTTATGAAGCACACGTATGCGACACAGATTTTATTTATTCCGGGGTCAAATACAGTAAGTGGCATCCTTGTTAATAAATATGGAAAAGATATTACAGTTAATGCTAAGAAAGAGATCATTTTATCAGGGGGTTCAGTCAACTCTCCGCAACTATTAATGTTGTCTGGTATAGGTCCAAAAAAACATTTGGAAGATGTTGGTGTCACTGTAATAGCAGACTTACCCGTTGGTGAGAACTTACAGGATCATATATTTGCACCCATATTTTACTCTATGCCATTTGATAAAGATACGACAACTCCGGCTAATATATTCGGCGCATTTGTAAAATATATTTTGGAAGGCTCTGGACCACTTAAAAATACTAGTCCGAACAGAGTAATTAGCTTTATAAATACTACGGATGCTAAATCGTCTTCTCCTGACATTCAGTTCCACTATTTATTTTTGCCTCCTGATGCTTCCAACATAACTGATGTATACGGCAAGCATGGATTAGGAGAAGAGTTTCATCAAAAGTTTTTAAAAATGAATGAGGACAAACTATTCATTGCGGCCTATTCCGTGGTATTATATCCAAAATCTAAGGGTAAAATTCTTCTAGCGAGTAAAAACCCTTTTGAAAAACCACTTATATACGCAGACTACTTCAAAGATCCTGAAGATCTGGCATGTATGGTTAGAGCGATGAAGCAGCATTCGCTAAAGTTGGGTGACACAAAAACATTTAAGAGTGCAGGATTGAATCTAGATTGGGTCGAGCTAGATGCATGTAAAGATATTGAAAAGGCTAGCGATGAACATTTAGAATGCATAGCAAGAGAGTTAACTTTCTCCTTATATCATCCAACTAGTACCGTGAAAATGGGTCCTGAAAACGACGTGACGTCAGTCGTAGACCCAGAACTCAAAGTACGCAAAGTGAACGGTCTAAGAGTGATTGATGCTAGCATTATGCCAAATATCGTGAGAGGAAACACGAATGCAGCATCTATGATGATTGGTGAAAAAGGAGCCGACATGATAAAACATTCTTGGTTAAACAAAGAACACACAGAACTTTAAGAAGCGAGGAATTGTTGATATATAATAATATGACATGTGTAAAAGATGGCATAAACTGAAGGAGGTCTACACTTCAGCGATTAAAAATGGCTAGAAAGAGAGTTTAATAGAGCCCGTATGTATGTAGTATTTGTTGTAATATATTATCCATGTACATATAAGTATAGAACCTGAATTCTGGTCTATTATCCTAAAAATGGCCTATTCTATCACCAATCTAAGCCCTTTTCCTTCTTACATTTAAAATGATGCTAAAATATTATCACAAATATAAACAATCTATTATCTATGACATTGAAAAGCATAACGGTGTGTCAGTTGTATTAAAAAATTACAAGTTCTGTAAATACTCTTGAATAAATTGTCTTCCCAGATGACTAATTTTTATTTTATGTCATGGAATAGTTGGCAAACGAGAAGATGCAATCAGGAGTCAAAAGGGCCTTGCCTTTAAGAAGAAGTACACTCTTTTCCTGAAAGTTTGAAGGTCGTATAGGTCCGGGGGGATACCGCAGATGATCATTTGATTTATAGATTGGTTGTGCGAAGTAAAAAGTGTCTTGAAAAGCGTACAATTATCCAAATGATGGGGATGAAAATTTTGCCGTGTGAAACGATGATGGAAGTTGCGGCTGGTATTAGTCCGAGCAATTGCTCGGAGCACTCTCCATGATACACGCGATAGAGAATGCAGAGTAAAGATACATCTCTACGTAACGCCAAGAGATCGAGCCGATCGAAGATTTTTTGGCTATAGTAGGCTAGGGGGCCCTAGAAGGGATTTCGGGATTTACTCCAGCGTATCAGAATAACATAAAAGAAATACTTACACCCAGTTGAGTACCTCCACCATACAAGAGTCCTTTATATAAGGGGATCGTCTAGGACAGCGCATAAGATTAGTTAAAAAAATCGATGGCCAAAAATACTCAAGCGTGTAAGATTAAAGTAAGTTGAGTCAACTACACATTAGTTTTTTTAATTATTTGAATTTGCAGTTTGCATTTTCGCTATAATATATATAATTCGCTACCAGTTTGTGTCACTATAAAATCGTCACACCTTTCAATGGGAGCATTTTTGGCATCCAAATAACATATCTCCAAAATATACACCGGATGGCGTAGTGGTTTGTGTGACGGACTGCTATTCCAAAGGTCGCGGGTTCGATTCCCGCACAAGTCAAACATTTGTGTGCATGAACATTTAATGTTTGATTTGGTCTGGGTGTTTCCATGTATAATATGTATGTATTCACAAAAAAAAGTATATATGTATTTATATCAGTTGTCTAGTACCCATAGTACAAGCTCTGCTTAGTTTGGGACTAGATGGCGTTGTGTGAATGCAGTAAAATATATTATTATTATTATATCATATCTGATGCTTCTGAATATATTTTTTGGATTTACTTCCCTTACATTTTTGAAAACCTGTAGAAGCTTTTCAAAAAAAGCTGAAAGTGGAAACATTATATAACTTTTATTCATTCTATTACCTAATCCTTCAAATGCAATAGGTCCCCATGACGTTCGAGTAAATTCCCGTTTAGTATCACTTCTATCAACGATTCGAGTCGCTCTTCGTTGGATGAGGTCCAATGGGAGAAGCTGGTACTGGGGTGGCACCTACATAGAGATGAGAACAGTACTCCGTATTCGGCAGGACTTGCGTCTTGTTGATTTGGAGGTGGTGGCCGGCATAAAATACTGCCTCTATCTGTTCTGCACGTCGAGCTTCTTCGAGGCTAATTTGACCTTACCCTCTAAGTGACCTCGTACCTGGACTTCGATTTCGATACTAGCTGAGGTAGTTAGAGAGGTGCTCTCAAACCGTGGGAGAGTTATGCTTCGGCACGAGTGGGCCGGCTCGACCGGAGTGATACCACGGCCTCACAGAAAACCGGCGTTACTCAATTCTTTCGTTGCCTTTCACCGAGTAAGTGAGGTTACCGGCGCGCCAATCCCCCCTTCCGCTGACTCGAGCGGGAGGGACTCCAAGGGCAGCAACGCACTTGTGACTTTTGAGTTGCAGGTGTCCATGGGCGGCGGTAGTTGCTTATCAGAGGGTGACCCGTCTGCTCCCTTATACCCTTATACCATAAAAAAACAAACCGAGGGGATACGACAAACGGTGAACGCGCAAACCTATCTTTTTTTGGTCAAAATTGACTAGTCAGAAAGTCAGTCGACCCCATTCTGCAATCTCCGCGAAGGCTCTTTATTAGGTAGGTAGGTGCATATTAAAAATTAAATACTGAACGGTCATTACTAGATACTTCCATAAAAGAACAGAAAGCCGAGAGAGGTTGAACTTTTTGTCCCTACTTTATTAGTTTTTTTTTACCTGACTGTGGTGGTTCACTAAAGGAGAGATATTATGATTGACCTTATCATCATCATCATGATGATTGAACTGCATGACTGTAAATATTTCAGGTTTCTAATGCTAAGTGACCTAATAAAATATATTTTCATAAATTGTACGCGTCTTTTCGTACCCGTAACGTGCATCAAAACAATAAATAAGTAATTAAAATCGCGGCGTTTTAAATATGAAAATATATTTATGAAAAAACATTTTACATTACATTAAAAGCTGTGTATATGTTGCCAGATTATTTGTATTTTTATATTTTATTTTTGATATTATATTTGTTGAAAGGTCTTATAGATCTCATATAGCGGTATAAGTGGCAAAGAGATCACATCTATTACACATATATTACATAAAACATATACTACACAATTTACATATATACAGAGAAACTGTAATATATACATACTAATCTTTGTTAGTCGCAGCAGTCTCTCTGTTAAAATCTCTCCTCTCTCTCCAGATCGCTCTCTGAACGAATTACAATATATGTACGTGCGTTTACCATCCGCTTACTTAGTAAATATTCTGTCGCGTTTGGTCAACGTAAATCTTCAACCCAAGCCAGTGGCCGCTTGTCGGGCTGGATAGAATACGTGTTTGTTACTTATAGTGAGCCTTTCGTTAAGGTAGAAACGCTGCGACGGCGCATCAATGCCGAGGCCAGCTGTAGTGGCACCGCGTCTCACGCGCGCGCTCTGTAGCAGTTCCGTGACCGCTTTACTCGTGAGCCCATTCGCTCTGCAAACACTATGTCCCATAGCTCCAACGTAACGCCTAGCTTTTTGGCTACCAGCTCAACAGAGTGAAACACGTTCTCGCCAGGGCTCTCAGGGAGGTTCGAGATCTCAATGTCCGAGAGCAGCAGTACCTGTTCTCTTTCATTGAGCCCCGTTTTCAGTTGCTTTACTGTGTGTTCTAGTTGGTTCACTACATCTTCCTGGGAGGGTTGACAGACCAATGGTTGGGTTGGTTGCGGTCCTTAAGGGGCGTCCCCTTGCAGTCAAGGAACTGGCATTCTCTATTTACATATTCTCTCTCTCTCTCTATATATACGAGTATATATACATGGCTGATAGTACTTTTTTGTACATTTGCAACATACATCGACACCTTTTGAGGCAGTAACTTCCCGCATGCTGCACAATTTGCCTTTTTGTTTAAACAAAGTACTAAAATAGCTCTATTTGAGATCTATGTAATGACTGTTCAGTATTGAGCAGCCCAATCTACAGCCTAACAGATGGCGCTGTTATCAATAAGTAATTAAGGCTGTTTCAGGTATGTTATGTAAGTTTTTCACAACACAATTAAAATAATATTGTCAATGTAAACCACGAAGCATAAAATTACCGTTCATATAGTACCAGTACGGCACAGTAATACAGTTTTTGTATATATTTAATAACTAGCTGAGACCCGCAGTGTTACCCGCGTTTGTTGTTATAACCGCGGGCGACGACGCGGGGCCGAGCTATTTTTAAAAAAGTAGCCTAAGTCACTCCTTATGTCATCAGCTATCTGCCAGTGAAACTCCCGTCGAAATCGGTCCAGCCGTTCCAGAGATTACCCGGAACAAACAGACAGACAGACAAAAATTGTAAAAAATGTTCTTTTGGCATATGTACCGTGTAAACATACATATGCATTTAGTAAAAAGCGGTTATTTTAATATTACAAACAGACACTCCAATTTTATTTATTTGTATAGAGTATAGATATAGAAAATCGGGTAGATTTTAGTCACTAGCCGGTTTCCTATTTTAATAGTAAGTTTATTTAAAGATCTCACAGTACTACAAGACTACAAAACATTGTATAGGTATTCTTACAACACACCAATCGTTGTAAACTCATAAATTATTTAAAAATGTAGTCATTTTTTTTAATTGAAATGTAGGCAGGGACCGTAACCGCTACTACCGACGTCAGAACCTAATGATATATCATATTGATGTCATTTAGTGATTAATGCAGTTAAAAAATAAGAAGCAATGCGTTTAATACGTGTTTATTGGCACAATTGTGCGATGAAAATGATGAAGACTTTCAACGATTGCTCTTACATAGTGAAGTACGCTGTGTGTCGAAAGGTGCATGTTTAACAAGATTTTACTCACTTATAGAATCAGTTTTAGAGTTGGAACGTTAAGAACCAGATTTTAAAAAAACCTGATCAATTTGAAAGCAGACATAGCGTATTTGACAGATTTGTTCAAAAAATTTAATGACATTAACTTACAATGACAAGGGGACAGTCTCAATTTAATAAAAACAAAGGGTAGACAGGTAGAATTAACTTTTCGGTACAAAATAAAATCCTATTGGAGCGAAAAATGTATTTTATAAAAGATTCAACTCTCAGGAATTTATTGAGGACGTCTAGTTATATTTTAAACAATGTATTACACTAAACTACCCACAACACTGTGTAGTGTATATTTTAGTTGACTATTCATAAGTGATATTGTGGGTGGTAGGCGAACATAGGTTACATTCTACCTACAACACTGTGTAGTGTATATTAAGTTGACTATTCGTCCGTGATATTGTGGGTGGTAGGCGAACATAGGTTACATTCTACCCACAACACTGTGTAGTGTATATTAAGTTGACTATTCGTC